TGAAATGCTTTAATATCCCCACTATTCCCCTTGGCAGCTTCGCCTTCACCAAAGCTATAAATACTATCCATGGTCCATGGCTTCTAGGGTTTTCTATTTATAAAGATGGCTCTTGTTTGTATTTATTTCACTAAAAGGAAAGAGTTATGTAGAAATATAAAAAGCCAGTGAAATGTGCATCAATTCATGAATTACAACCTTTTAGCTTATAGGTGCTTTGTTCCAAGTCTAGAATGTATGTTTCAGTATATTGTTATCATTTTTATTGAGTATGGAAAAGCTTTGGCATTAAACAAGGGAAAAAAGATTTGTGGACAAAACTTCTGTTTACTCTTACCTCAAAGCTCAGTTCCGAAGGCCGTAATCTTCAAAGACATTTTTGTTTCCAGTGTTCACGTTTAATTAAAAACCACATTCACAATTCTATTATCCCATCTGTGGATCCAAAAAAGGAATTCATATAAGAGAAAATTAACATGATTATTAAAAGTATACTGCCTATATAATAGGTATAATAGAGTAACAGTTTTCCGCAGTCTCAGTAGCAGTTTCTTATAACTAAAATATTAGCAAATTTAATGGATTTTTCTTACCTGCACACTTGTTTTTAAAACATATTTCATTGGATTTAGATGAATATAATGACATTTGCTAAGGAAATAGATGCCAATAATAGGCTGTTACTTTTTATTGGCAGGCATCAGAATTTGAAGTGCTATGGTCTTGACTTTGTTAGATGATGAATCAATGTATTTTAATTCTATTAACAGCAGAAACGTGGCTGGGCATGTTGACTCATGCCTGAGATCCCAGCACTTTGGGAAGCTGAGGCGTTCAGATCACTTGAGGCCAGGAATTCGAGACCAGCCTGAACAATATGGTGAAATCCCTTCTCTACTAAAAAATACAAAAATTAGCCAGGTGTGATGGTGCATGCCTATAATCCCAGCTATTCTGGAGGCTGAGGCAGGATAATCGTTTGAACCCAGGAGGTAGAGGTTGCAGTGAGCCGAGATCATGCCATTGCACTCCAGCTTGGGCAATAGAGCGAGACTCAGTCTCAAAAAAAAAAAAAAAAGCAAGAAAAAAAGAAACTTCATCCCCATGACTCTGCTTTAGTTCTTTTTTGTTGTTGTTATTTGTTTGTTTTTCTTTATTTTGAGACAAGGTCTTATTCTGTTGCCCAGGCTAGAGTGCAGTAGTGCAATCTTGGCTCACTGCAGCCTCTGCCTCCCGGGTTCAAGTGAGCCTTCCACCCAAGTTTCACCACTAGCTGGGACTATAGATGGGTGCCACCATGCCTGGCTAATTTTTGTATTTTTTGTAGAGATGGGGATTTGCCATGTTGCCCAGACTGACTTTGAACCCCTGGGCTCATGTAATCTGCCTACCTCAGCCTCCCAAAGTGCTGGGATTACACCGTGCCCAGCCTGTTTTAGGTAAATCTATGGCAGATGGTTTCCTTTTTAAATAACATTTCTTTTAATTTGTTTACCTTTATAAGAGTACTTTCAGAGGAAAGATTACTGTCCTTTGTTCTTTCCACAAGGTACATAGTTCTTGATGCTGTGCCATTTGTCATGACTATCACACATAACAGCCGAGGCTGTTTTGGGAGGGTGTTCCCTGAACTCTCCCAGAAAACGTAGGCATGTCTGCCATTGGCATCCGAGGGCAGGTTGGGACAGCCGAGTGGGTGCCGCATGCAGGGTGTATCCATTCAAAGAGCCCTATTCTGGGATACCTATTTGCTTCATATGCAACAAACATTACATGTAGCTGCTGGTTGACTATCGTTTCTTGAATCATGTTTCCTAAAGCTTTCTAGTGAGCATGATAGAAAAAATATATTCATGTAGAAAGAAATATGTGAGATAAATTAAGTTTAAAAAAAGACATGTAGTGCTTGCTTCGGCAGCACATATACTAAAACGAGAGCAATCCAGAGGAGATTAGCAAAGATGACACTCAAATTCGTGAAGAGTTCTCTATTAAAAAAAAAAAGGCATGCAGCAAATTTAACTTGAACGTGAACATAAAAACTTGCTAGCAGGTCAAAATCTCATGTAGTTATTTCACTCAGCACAGAATGCAGTGTTCTGGCTGCTCTTGGTAGTTACTACAATATTACCAGATGCTTTCCAGTGTTACCTTCTTGTGCCCTGTACTCTGTATTGCAGAATTTATGGTTAAAATATACTTTGTCTTTTGTTATACAGGAATATGTCACATAGTTTGCATGAATGTACAGTATACATATACATACATACACATATACACATATGTAAATAAAATATATATGAAACACATTTTATGTATACTGTTTCATGATAATTTCAACTTGCCTATTATTTTCATCCTGTTCTCTCTTTTGTTGTTTTTACCCAATTTTATTATTATTTTTTCCTTTCCAGTTCTTTACTTTTTTCAGTATTATCTGTTTTGGTAATTGTGTAGTTTTATCTTTTGATCATTTAAACATGATATCAACATTTTTTTCCTCCAGATTCTCAGTGCTTAGACACCATTAAAAATCCATTTTTTATATGTTGAAGTAAATAAATGCTCAAAATGCTTGACTTGTTTTGATAATGTAAGTATTCAGACATGCATAATATTTATACACATTCTATAAAGCTCAATATGTAACTGATTTCATGATACATGCATATAAATTCTAAATCTATTACAAATATTAAGAGAATGTGCTCTCAAACACATAGTTTTCTTTTCTTTCTTTTTATGTATCACTGCCTGTCACTCATCTGTCAAAATCCACAACAGTGTTTTTGCAGATTGCAACACGTGATCCCAGGAGGCTGATAAGCTTTGTTGACTAGGATGATTCTAGGAAGACAGTGACCTAATGAAACCTTGGGGCCCACTTACTTGATCTTTGTAGATTGTGCCTCTTCTTACTTTTCTGTTTCTCATCCCCTCCATCTTATGTCTCTTTTCTGTAAAGAATTTGATGTCTTAAAGCGACATTATTTTAGGTAGGAATACGTAGGTTTTGTTTTTTGTTTTCGAGACAGAGTCTCACTCTGTTGTCGAGGCTGGAGTATAGTGGTGTGATCTCAGCTCACTGCAGCCTCTGCCTCCTGGGTTCAAGTGATTCTCCTGCCTCAGCCTCCTGAGTAGCTGAGACTACAGACATATGCTACCACGCCTGGCTAATTTTTGTATTTTTTGTAGAGTTGGGGTTTGTGCCATGTTGGCCAGGCTGGTCTCTAATTCCTGACCTCAGGTGATCTGCCCGCCTCTCCCTCCCAAAGTGCTGGGGTTACCGGTGTGAACCCACCACACCTGGCCTAGGTACATAGATTTTACAAAGTTAAATAAGAGTTGAGAAACTGAAGATTTAATCAAGCTTCAGGAGTGAGGTGAGGAATGGGATGAATGCTGTATTTAGCCAGTGGTTCTCAAACTTTAGTGGCATCAGAACTACCTGCACGGCTTGTTAGACCAGATTGCTGGTCCCCACCTCCAGAGCTTTTGATTCAGTGAGACTGGGATGGGCCCCAGTGTCTGCATTTCCATGAGCTCCCAGGTGAAACTGATCCTGCCGATGTGGGACCGCACTTTGAGAAGCATTGTTCTAGGATCACCACTTTTGGTATTTTCAGGTAAGGCAACTGAGGTCAGACAGGGGAAGGGGCCTGCTTAAGATCTCATACCTGTAGTGAGTTAGCATCCAGGCTAGAATGAGGACCAGGTCTCCTGGTTCTGGCCTCTGATGTTCTCTGAGGATTGTTCTTTGACCAGTGAAGGAAAAACCCTTCCTGACCTTCTGAACAACTGAAAGCAGTGTGGGAAATCACATTTCCACCCTTCCAACATTCCTGTGAGTAGGCAGCACTGCCTCTGGCTGGCCTGTCTCTTTCTTGGCATGTCCTATGGAGAACGTGGGCTCTGGTGCTCTATACTGTTGCTTAAAGTTACCTGAATATATGTTTCAGCCTCTTCACTTCCCTATCCAATTTAATAATTATTCATGGGACATTTGTCTGTCAAGTTGTGACCATTTAGAGATTACTATTAATGCCATCATTTTTTCACGCATGACCTATTAAACTCAGGCCTATATTATGTCAAGAAAAAGTAAGTTAAAGACAGCATAGGATGCAAGAATAACCATAGGAAAAATAGAAATGGTGGAATTTTTGCTTGGATTTACGATTTTGCTTTTAGTTCAATACGATTTCAGTGAAATATTATTTCACCAAATGAGAGTTTTCCGCAATATCCTCTAGCCTATATTTTCAAGGTGTGAAATATCTTATCCTTGGCAAATTCAAATTAAAGTAAAAATGATTTTGATTGTTAATTGTCTAAATGAAGGCACTATGAAATGGGTTTCATAAGAATATTAATGTGTTGAGTTTCGCTGGCTGAGAAGAATAACAAGAATTGTGTTCTTGTGGATCGTGAGTATTGGTTTAATTTCAGTGATTGCTTTATTGGGCTGCAGATTGTCACAGTGGTATTGATGGATCATAAAATGCAAATAACTCTCACCTGATAATTACATATTAGAACTGGGTACCAAAAGAATTGACCTTGAATGATTGAGGGAATTAAGTACTTTTTTCCCAAAATGTTGGAGAAGAAAGCTAGCCCACTTAAAGTTGGACTAAATTCAATGCAATAATTCTTGACTAAGGGACTTCTGTTCCTAAGGAATGGATTATTCTAGGTGGGTTTTGGATCTGCATTGGGCCTCAAGGGCCAGTGTATGAATTGTAATGTAAATGGATGGAGAACACATGTGCATTTATAAATGTGTACATAACAATAAATATTTATTGCAAGAATTATTGATTGAATGATGAAGACAGAAACTAAAATTCGACACTGATATGATTATTTTCAGTTTCATGAGAGCAAAGGCACCAGCTCACAGTGTATGAATCATGATATAATCTGTCATTTTTGGTCAATAGAGGAATGGAATTCAGGCCACAGTTCTGATCCTTAATGCTGTCTTCTGTTTTTTTTAGCGTCTGGTGGAAGCTGCAGAAGAAGCACACCTAAAACATGAATTTGATGCAGACTTACAGGTAACTGATTATAGTTTGAGTTACATTGTTTTGTGTGTTTCCTGCCAAAGGAAAAGTACCAGGTTTACCAGGAATACTGGTTTTTCAGTGATTGGGAGGGAAAGGCTGTTGGGAGGATGGTATAGAGTTGGAATAAATGTACCTACCTTTGACAGGATTCTTAAGCAATCCTCAACCATTTTCTAACAATGATAGTTATAATGGGTGATTCCAAAACTCACATGTGTGTAATCAGATTTCAATAAACTATTCCCCAATTTAGGCGGCGTTAAATCGGTCAACTAACAATAATCACCAGATCTCTCAATGGTAAATGGATAAGATAGCAGAATATATCCAAATCCCACTTGCTGGCTGCAATTTGGAATGCAGGTGACTGAATGCAATACTGTGATCTATCCTTGAATTGATTGTTAATAATATTTAAAAATTAAATCATTTACTGATTTGAGATTCAAACATCCATTTAATTAATTTCTGGCAGTAGATCTTGCACCTGATTATGGCATGACTATATCTGATTGAGAAGGATTTTGATGTTGATGTGTATAGAAAACATAGGAAGGGGCAACAAGTAAATTAAATAATGCTTGGATATTCCAGCTGGGTGTGGTGACTCATGCCTGTAATCCCAGCACTTTGGGAGGCTGAGGCAGGTGGATTACTTGAGGCCAGGAGTTCAATACCAGCCTGGCCAACATGATGAAACCCTGTCAATACTAAAAGTACAAAAATTAGCTGGGCATGGTGATGGGCACCTATAATCCCAGTTACTTGGGAGACTGAGACAAGATACTGAAATTCTACAGTAAAATTCTGGTGTAGCACAAGTGATTCCCTCTGTCAAACAAGGTGCTATGATGGTGAATGCAGCATTGGCATCTCTCTTGAACAAACGAGGCACCAAGAAAATAAGTCTTTAGTTTTTGTTCCCTCGGGAACAAGGAAGAGGAGCCAAGATTTTTCCTCCCCAGTCACCTGTTCTGTATGAATACAACAAAAGCATCAGAGGGTACCATTGTGGTCTGAACACAAGAGTAGATGTTGAAATACTCCATCAATATGACAGTGCCGTTCACTATCTGGTGCTCCGACCTCAGTGAACTCCTCTCTGGGTCAGAGTAAACCACATGCACTTGGTGGAGACCTATGAAAGAGAGGCCTTTGATGAAGTGAATGTGCATGGAAGAATTTGTCTTGGCTTAGATGAAGGTTTTGAAGCTACTGAAGCTTCTATGCTATTAAATGCAAGTCTGTTAACAGCTTGGGTGTCAACCCCCTTCCTATTACCAAGACAGCAGGTCTGTGTCCCGGCTCTGAATTTATTGCTGTGATGGTCCATTAGAGCTGATCAATTGTTAATCTGGGTTCTGCTGACCTCTCAGCAACCCCTGCCAGATGATTGTTTCTATCAAAAAAATTTCAGACTACCATCTGCTCACTGTGAAATAGCACTGAGAAGAACCCTACCCTATTAGCTCAGGAGGAGCACAGGGAGCTGGAAGTCTGTTTTCATACAGAAAAAAAAATTGATTTTGCAAAATTTCCTAATCTGTGTAGTTTTAACTCATGTATATCTTAGCTTCCTTCTTCCCCAAACAGAAAAGAGATGATGGATCTGCCTCTTGTCACACTTTAGACTGGAGACGTTGCATCACTGCAACATTCATGTGCTTCAAAGTGAAGAATTTGCTTTTCATTGGTAATATAATTAAAAGTTACTAAAAGAAAGTTATAACTCCTTTATTATCACGATTTTATTTTCCATTTAAATTCCCTTACAGTCTCTTCAGAGGTTTAACATTTCCCCTATGACCTTATGGATTTGACATCTACAGACCTCTCTGTAAAGTCCTTAATATGGCATTAGATTGTTAAGTCTTTTTTTTTTTTTTTGAGACGGAGTTTCGCTCTTGTTACCCAGGCTGGAGTGCAATGGCGCGATCTCGGCTCACCGCAACCTCCGCCTCCTGGGTTCAGGCAATTCTCCTGCCTCAGCCTCCTGAGTAGCCTGGATTACAGGCAGGAGCCACCATGCCCAGCTAATTTTTTGTATTTTTTAGTAGAGACGGGGTTTCACCATGTTGACCAGGATGGTCTCGATCTCTTGATCTCATGATCCACCTGCCTCGGCCTCCCAAAGTGCTGGGATTACAGGCGTGAGCCACCACGCCTATATATATATATATATATATATATATATATATATATAG